AAAACATTACCTATTTATAAATTTTAAGAGTGCGCATTCAAGATTTCTCTTCCAAAAATTATAACCATTATTAGACTTATTGCGTCCTCGAGTATTCGCGGCGGTAGAGAAATATATAGTTTAACGTCTTAACATTGTACGCAGATCCAGCACACAATCAGGTAAGTGAGACGGTGTAACATTCATAAGAGACACAAGAGTTTTTACGTGAAAACCCCTGAAAAGGGGGGAAAACCACGGGGCCTGGCCCAGTTTGAATGAATCCACTAGTTTTTGCAGTCTATTACAAATGAGACCCTTCCTTGGGAGAAGGCCTTGACTTGATGTCACAAATGTATATCATATAGAGTGCATTACGTGGTGGGAGTTACAATAGATTTGTTTATTTTGTCAGCACGATCATAGTCGATAGGATGGTGGTCAAAAAGGCCATTGTTTGGTGATGGAGGTCGGAAGGACCATCATAGGCAACAGAGGTCGGAAGGATCATAGTCGGCAAGAGACCGGGGTCAGAAAGACTGTTGTCTGTTGATGGAGGTCGGAAGGACCATAATATGCAACGGAGGTTAGAAGGATCGTAGTCGGCAGGATACCGAGGTCAGAAAGACCGTTGTCTGTTAATGGAGGTCGGAAGGACCATAATAGGTGACGGAGGTTAGAAGGACCGTAGTCTGCAGGAGACCAGGGTCAGAAAGACCGTTGTCTAGTGATGGAGATTGGATGGACCATAGTAGGTGACGGAGGTCAAAAGGATTGTAGTCAGCAGGAAACTGGGGGTCTGAAAGACTGTTTTATTAGGGCGGTACTCTGATAGAACTTTGGGCGTCAGGCGGTGGTCCAGCAGAGGTGAGGGCCTCAAGTGGTGGTCAGACAGAATTCTGGGTCTTTGGTGATGATCCGACGAAGGTGAGGATCTCAGGTGGAGATCTGGCGAAGGTGAAGGCCTCTGACAGTGATCCGGCGAAGGTGTGGGAGGGCCTCTGGCGAAGGTGTGGGTCTCAGATGGTGGTTTGACGAAGGTGACGGCCTCTGGCGAAGATGAGGGTCTCAGGTGATTATCTGACGAAGGTGAGGGTCTCTGCCGAAGGTGAGTACCGATGGCGAAGGTCCGGCGAAGGTGAGGGCCTCTGGCGAAGGTGAGGGCCTATGGTGAAGGTGAGGGCCTCAAGTAAAGGTGAGGGCCTCTGACGAAGGTGAGGGCCTCAGGTGAAGGTGAGGGCCTCTGGTGAAGGTGAGGGTCTCAGATGGCGGTCTAGCGAAGGTGAGGGCCTCTAGCGAAGGTGAGGGCCTTTGGCGAAGGCGAAGGTGACGACCTCAAGTGAAGATGAGGGCCTCTGGCGAAGGTGAGGGCCTCTGGAGAAGGTGGGGCCTCAGGTGGTGGCCCGGCGAGGCTCCGGTGGTGGTCCGGCGAGGCTCCGGTGGTGGTCCGGCGAGGCTCCGTTGGTGGTCCGGCGAGGCTCCATAAGTGGTCCGACGAGGTTCCGGTAGTGGTCCGCCTAGGCTCCTGCGGTGGTCGGGCGAGGCTCCTGCGGTGGTCGAGGAGGAGCTTCTTCCTTCTCTTCTTCTCCTCTTCTTTATCTTCCCTTCTTCTCTTCTTTGCTTGGACCCCCCTTTCAAGAGAAATGAGGGGTCTATTTATAGATTTTCTGGAGTGACATGGCCTATAAATATGTGAGAGATCAGGGGCAAATGTGGAGTGGTTCAATGGACGGCCGATATTGAATCCCTTGATCATAGATAGTTCGTCAGACATTTGAAGGTCTTAATGGTATCAAAATTCATTTATCTTGGGCTCGTTGGATTCGTCTCGTCGAGCCGCTCGATTTGACTATAAGCTTGTTATGTTTGGAAACCCTTTGGTAATCCAAATTATGGTTTGAACCTTCCAACAGCGCTTCGGGTCCTTGATTTGGACTCATTTGAGCTCGGATTGAGTCGAACTTGGTGTTGTTGGGTTTGTATTTCAGATACGCTCAGTTTGACTGTAAGTTTTCTGAAATCGGAGTTGAGATAATCTCCAAATTAATTTTTTAAGTTTCCAACATTATTTTGTTTCGAGATTCATGCCCAATCAAGATATTTTTTTGATGACGTATCAAGACTGTTGAATACATCTAATTTTTATTTTTTATTTGGTGCTCGCCTTTGTGCTTTAATGACCTTAAAATTGAGCGATATTGAGATCGATGGATACTTCTTATTGTGAAGCTCATTTTGACCAAAATCTTGATCCCTCAAGAAACTTCTAATTATATTTCTACATATTTGATTTAAACTGATTAAGACTTAGATTCACATGATTTTGAGGGAAAACTGTCCCAAACGAAGCCTCAGTCTTCTTGAATCATCACTTATATATTATGAAATTGTTGAAAATTAAATTCAGATAATTTTATAATTACTTTTTCAAATCTTTAACCCAAATGATTGGATGCTTAGTGAAATCAAAATTATTTTGAAATTATTATCTGATCAAATTTCTGAACCATATCAAATTTTATAAGTATATAATATTTTATTATTATACATAAAAATTAATTTGAATAAAATTTATGGGTGCTGGATCATAAGAATAAAATATTTTATGAACTTCCTAATTATGAAAATTGAGAAAAATAATTACATTGGAAACTTCTAAAATGTTTTTTATATAGGTGTCTGAAGCAAAAGAGGAAAATTGAACACTTAAGAAAAAAATATAAAATATTTATATAATAGAGATTAATTAACTATTTTATGCTTTAAAAGTCTCATTTGATTTTTGTTAGGGCCAGTGTCCTGACATAGCTCTACATCCGGAAGCCAGTAAAATGGTGTCACGTGCTCTTACTCTTTACCGCGCGGCCCAACGATCCGACTTGGACCGGTCCCGAGATTGCTATGTATTGGTTGATTTGTGCAGACCGGGATATTGATAAGTATTGCTCGATATTATTTAGCAATAACGAGAAATACCATTATGTGAAGACTAATACCTAACAATACCTATCAATACCGAGCAATAACCCGGTTTTGCTAGGTATTGCTCGGTATTGCTAGGTATTGGTTTTCATAGAGCAGTATTTCTCGTCATTGTCAAGCAATACCTAGCAATACGCGAACATAGAATCCCGGGTCCCGGTCTGGGTCAGATCGTCGGGCCGCACGGTAAAAAATAAGAGCACGTGGTGACATGTTATTGGCGTCCGAACGTAGAGCTACGTCAGGACACCGAACCTAATAAAAATTTCATTAAAACACATAGTTTTTTTAACAGCAAATATTTTTTTAATTTTGTTTATAAAGTTTCAACAATAAAAAATTAGGTGTTGGTGACTAGTGTATATATAAGTGAGTCATGCCAAATTTGAGTCATTCCTAGCTTGAGTTGTGTAATTAATCATATTAATGTTTGAGCTGAAGCTAAATTCTACGAATTTGAGCCGTTTCACGAGCAAACTTGTTTATAATGATAGACAGAAAATAATTATGCTTCAAATAATTATTATAATAAAATTAAAAAAATAATGAGAAATTATAAATAAATAAAAAAGAATCACTTGATATAAAAAAATAAAGCACAAAATTAAAATATTTTTAATAGTTTTACATTTGAACCATTGAATTTGAATATATTTCAAGTGTCTTTTAATTAATATTTTTTAAATTAAGTCGACTCACGAGCTAACGAATTGAGTTGAGGTTTGCTCAAATTTGACTAGTTAGCTCATTGAGTCAGACTTACAAATCACCTTGACTCAATTACACCCGTGAGGCAATATCTTTGCATTAAAATTCAATTTCGTTATGAAAATTTATTTATTCTATAAAATACTCAGAGTCCACACGACCCAGCACCTATAACGACGATCTGACACGTGGAAAATAACATTGAATTGCCACGTGGAACGTAGTTTGACATGCTGTGTAATGAAGTGCGGTGGACTAGCTTGGAACCTATCCAAAACAAAATCAGTGGGGCCCTTATTATGTCATTAATCACTAATCACCAATCACTTTCTCCTAACGCGGATAAAGGATTGGAATAGACTTTGACCACAACAGTAGTCAATACTCAGATAAAATATCTTAAATTGGATTAATTTGAACATAAATTCTTTAAATTCATTCTGATTAAAATTATATTGAGATATTCTTATAATATTTTTTTTATGGTACATATCTCTTTTTTTTTTTTGAAACAATAATAATAACTTCATCAAATTTTTATTTCATTATGTAAGGTTTGCTTCATGAATTTTTTTTTATTATGTCCTATTCAGATTTAATTTGGGACTGTTTTTTTATTGTTTCTTAAAGCAGTTTTTTAGTTAAATTTTTTTAATTTTTGCACTAAAAATAGCCTTAAGAAGCAGCAAGAAAACCATTCCAATCGAGACATGAGAGTCAAAATTTCAGTTAAATATCTAAAAATAAACTCCCTATGTGAATACAATTTGTTGTAGGATTATATTTGTAAAAATTATAATACCCAAATCTCATAGCATATCAATTTACTTATAACTCTATTTATCACAAAGTAAATTTATAAGTTCTTAAACTCAACATTATTAAAACTTTGGTGCGAATATTCTCTTTTAAATATATTTATGAAGCTAAATTATTAATATGCAGGAATGTAATGGCAAACATGAACTTTACTAATTTAAAGGGTCTAACCCTAATCAAACACGAAATTAATATAGTACATAATCAAAGATCCAAAATTGACATAAAACCAATCAGATTAGCTCAAAAATAAATCAAATTTACACTCTTTGAGTGTTCCTTCCATCTGTCTCCTTTGACCAAAGACCAGTCATCATATGGCGAAGTTATTATGGTAACCACTTCATTAATTTACTGTGTATTATCACTGTGTACTGCTGTGTATCGGGTGATATTGCACATCCTGATTGACCTCTGAACTATCTCATAACCACACTTAATAGTTCTCCATCCTATAAGTAGAAAGCAAGCGCCTTTAAATCCAAACGCTCACTATCTATAAGAAAATGCAGAGCATCACCGAAAATGAGATGAGCATGAAAAGAGAGTAGCTTAGATAGAAATGGAGATCAATTTGCTTATCAATGCGCTTAACCAAGGAAACGAACAAATCAGAGAGCTTGAAGCCCAGCTCGATCAACCCAACTCTTCAGAAGCTTGCAAGTCTTTAGCAAGTCAGGTCCAGGCGGCTTTAGCAACCGCGATCTCCATGGCTAAACTGCTCAATCAGCCGGCGAAAGCCTCTGAATCGCCATTGTTGGCAACTGAGAGTCCGAGGAGCGAGAATTCTGAGAAGGTTTTCAAGAAAAGGTATAGAAATAAAGCCAAGTGTTTTAATTAATTTATCTGAATCGGTTTTGATGGGGTGAAATTAATATGTTTATAGGAAGACGAAGACAAGGTTGAACACGCAAGTTCTTCTGTGTTCACCTTCATCGGCCGTGAATGACGGCTATAGCTGGAGGAAGTACGGACAAAAGGTGATACTCGGATCAAAGTTTCACAGGTTTGTGGCGGGAAAGTTGAGATTTTGAAACGATCAGAAATTCAAGATCCGATTTTTATTGTGAGTTTATTCATTAGGTTTGATTTGATCCCCAATGTTCAGAGATTAATTGGTTATCTTTGCCGATTTACAGAGCCTACTATAGATGCTCCCACCGCGACACCCTCGGATGTCCGGCGACGAAACAAGTACAACGTTCCGACGACGATTCTTCTCTCTTCCAAATCTCCCTCCACGGGGATCACACGTGTGGAAACCATCATTGCCGGCGAATCCCTGAGTTGCCGTCGGAGTTACACAATACTTCGCCGGAGGCAGAGAGGCTCATGATCGTCTCCGGTGATCTTCAGCCAGGTTTTTCATTGACATCCCCGTCGATCTGCGGGCCGAGCAACGACATTTCCGCGCCGAACTTGCGCGGGTCGGGCTCGGAGATGGCTGAGATGCTCTCCGGAGCGAGTTGGACGATGAGTGAATCTCCAATTGAGAACTGGGATTTTAAAGACGACTTCGATACTCTCTGGTCTTCAACAACGATTGAATCTACAATGGTCGAATTCGGCGCAGAGTTTCCATTTGATTTCTCTTAGGGCTGTTTGGCAAAGTAGGATTTAGGCTTATGTTTAGGACGGCTTTCTAACTTATTCTTAAAGTAGCTTTCTAGTTATTGTACTATAAAGCTGTTTTAAGAAGCACTAAGAAAGTCATCTCAAACGAAGTCTTAGGCTTCGTTTGGGACGGCTTTTTATTGCTTTCTAAAACGGAGTTTTAATACAAAAATAAAAAATTTTGTATTAAAACTCTGTTTTAAAAAGCAGTAAAAAAGTCGTCCTAAACGAAGCCTTAGTCTTACATATGTGAAGTGTGTTAAGGCCTAAATTTCCTCAAAAACTTAGTAGGATTTAATTAAATAAATACTAAGTGTGTTAAATCCTGGAAACTATTTGGCAAGAAAATTATTAAATTTTGTTAAGTAAACTAATTGGCAACATAATCAATGATTTAAGATGGTTATTTCATTGAAAATTTACATTTAATATGTATTTTGAATTTAATTTGCATTTTAAATAATAGTTATTTATTAAATTTAATTTTAATTACTATCAATAAGTTATAATTATAAATGATATAATTTGAATTTGATCTTTTAAGGATATTAATATTTATTTTTAATAAATAATTAAATTTTATATCCTATTAGTTATTATTTAAATAAAAAATAGAAACTATCACAACAAGTATTACTTCATGGTATTGTAGATAAGGTGCTATTTATCCTACTCTAAGAGCGGGGTTCAAAATCGTCGAGCTGATGCCTTTATGATTATATAATGTGATGGGCTTTTATTCCAAGTTGGGCCAAAGGTGGTGCATTTTTATTATAAGTTGGGCTAGTTATTTTGAATTCCACTTTGGTGGTGGGTTTTTATTGTTGGAAGGGCTAGTGGGTGCCTATGCTTCTAAGGCTCCCATAGTAGCTCCTCCAGTGCTTATTAATGACTTTATTGCCCAAAGTCATCATGCCCTCACTAAATCTATTAGTTATAAGATTACATTCAATGTATTTAGTTTTAGATTTACTTAAATGAAAATCTTTAGGCTTTAAAGTTGACCTCCGTAATTCAAGTTTATTTCAACTCATTAGCGAAACTATAGTGGGGGAATAAAAGCCCATCACATTATATAATCTTATATAATCATGAAGGCATGAGAGTAAAGGTTTGAACACAACTCCTTTAGTAGGATATCTAGCACCTTATCCATTGGACCATGAAGTGACACTTGTTGTGTAGTTTTTATTTTTATTTAAATTATAACTAATAGAATATAAATTTTAATTGTTTATGAAAGATTAAAATATTATTTCACTCTACAATCAATTAAAAAGATAAAAAATCATTCAGAGAAAGTATTTTAAAAAATATCAATTTGTGCCCCCGCTAATAAAATTTTCTGTATTCGCCCTTAACAATAAGAGTACATGTTTTAGATATCTCGGGTCTATTGTTCAAAGTGATGATTAAATAGATGAGGATATTATTAGTTGAGTTCAATTTGGATGGTTGACGTGGAGAAGTATCTCTGAAACTTACGAAAAAATTTTATAAGATGATAAGACTTGCAATACTTATGGCGCAAAAAAGTTGGCCATTAAAAGAGAATCATAAAAATAAGTATTTCAGAGATAAGGATACTTAAGTGGATGAGTGACTTCACTCTTAGACATAATGTGAAACAGGTATATACGTGAAAATGTTGGAATAGCCCCAAAGACATATAAATTAGAGAGAGTCGTCTTAAATGGTTTGGTCACATAAAGTATGGGCTTTCTGATGACCCAATTAAGAGTGTAGATGTTTTGGGTTTGGCCTATGTTAATAAACTTAGAGCTAGACCTAAAAGACTTGATTAGCAAATATTATAAATAATATTTTTTTATTAGATTTAAATGAGAATTTGACTCTTAATATAACATATTGGAGAAAAAATATTCATATAACCGACCCCATCTAGTTGATCCTAATAATGTAATTATGTAAACATGACCCAATTACGAGCATCATAAGTGATACTTTAATTCTAATCAGAATTGTCATAATACATTACATATTATTAAAATGATTTGGTGATATTTAAATTTTAATAATCAAATAGAAAACTTAACATAATTACCACTGAGAATTTTATTAATTACATATCTAACAACTAAAATTTGTTATTTCCATTTATAACACCAAAATCTTTCTAAACACCACAAATGGCACTCTCGGCTGCGTTCCTAAGGGCATCTCCAACCGAACGGCAAACACTTGTTTGCCGTTCTTGCTTTGCTCTAACCGATCGTCATTTTTGACACTGTTCATGTGCGCCATTTTTTTCCTCTCTACCGAACAGGTTGGGAAGAAAGGCGCGAAAGAAAACGAACGATTTTAGGGACAAAATGGCGTTGGATTGGAAATGAAACACTGCATTTTTTGATTTCCTGCATTTTGAGTGAAAAATGAGATTTTCCGTTGGAGATGCCCTAACCCCGGCACTCGCAATCTGCAACTTCGTCTCCAAGGTTTCTCTCCCATGCGAACAGCTCTCCTCCTGCCTCTTTTACTGATTTTGACACAGTGAGTAACTTGGTCACCATTCCTACCTATGAAATCCTTCTCCTCCCTACTCTTTTGCCGATGTTGGCTTAATGAGCGACTTCATTTCCATCCCTACCTCCTGCATCCTTGATCTTAGCTTTCCCGCCTAGTTTGTAGATCAAGTCTAAACCAATTTTTAGTCTCCAAGGTGAATCGACATTATTTACTTCCCGTTTTAACCAATTTGTTAAAAAAAAAAACCTTTTTTTTTAGGGTTTAGGGTTTTGTCAAACAGATGGTAGTCAGGTTTATGGAAGCTATTATATTTTTATTTTTTAACAAATCAAATACTGGAGCTGTAATAAAGAGTTTGTCTGAAAATAATTTGTAGAAACTGCAAGACGAAAACTTTTATTTGATAGAAGCTTTATTTGTAATAAAATAGGAAGTTTACATTCAGATTTTTAATTTTGATCTTCATTAACCTTTTTATGTTGTATTTTTCGATTGTCCTTCTAGCTTTTGTGTTATTCATTATTTGGAGTTGATATCATGTTAGATATGAAGGAGTTGCTTTGCGAACATTTAAATTTTGTGGTTGTTGTAGCAAAGTTAAGAACGTGAATAGAAAGAAATATGAAGGGGGAAGTAGTAGATTGTAAAGCCTGATGAAGGCTGACTTAGTTTTTTTTTTTGTATTAATAGAAGAGATAGAAGGCATTTATCTTTGGCTAAGAGGCCATGATTTTGAATTTTACTACCATATTTGTGGGACATCTCCTAAGGAGTATAGAAGCTTATCCTTAATGACATTGATGTAATGAAATTAGTGAGTTTTTTTGCCCTAAGTGATCAAACTATGGTAGTCGTTATAACCAAAGATGACACAAATTAAAGATATACTGCATTTTGGCATTTTTAGAATTTTTGTTTCTTACTTAGCTGCACTTGATTCAATTGGGTTCATAACTATACTTAATTCCCACTACATATCCTATACATATAATTAGCATTCAAATTAACATTCAAAATTTTAGGTGATCATTCAAATTGGCTTTCAAAATTGAAATTTTACTTAAAATTATAGCTAAATCTAGCGGCCGAAACCCTTAATTCTGTCTTAAACTGCACTTGAAACTGCAATTAAAACTGTAGATAAAATTGTAGTTAATACTACCACTAAAAATTGGTAACATATAAAATTGGCTGAAGCAGTAGCTGAAACTTATAGTTGCAACTGCAAGTAAGTCCTACATCCGAGAACTTTCAAATTGGTAGAAACTTTTTTTTTTTTTGGAAATTTAGGTCAATTTCACATACGCAAGACTCGAAACCAATATCTATTAATTGATAGTCAAAGCTCTCAACTAACATATCAAGGTGAGCTGCATGTTTTAGGCATGGTTTTAGCTGAAATTAATTGTGCGGTTTTATAAATCATTTAAAAAAATCTAACAAAAGTTCAAATTTTACAGCTGGAACTGCTTATTGAAGCCTCTTTACAACATTGCATTTACATCATATTACACCAGTTCTAATTCTAAATGATCTTTAGGTTGTCTTATTAGGTTCAAACATTTATTACATTGAAATAAATATCATATTATATTCAACATATGAATTCAAACCTCCATTGCACTACAATAATAGTTGAAGTGCTGAAATGTCCAATCTTTCAATAAAAAATTACAATCGATAATAAAATTCAAAATACATCCTTGATAGCTCATGATCATCAGCTAATACATTACAACAAAACAGACTCACTAATATAAATATATCTTAACTACTATTGTTAGTATGTAGATCATCCGAATTCCTTTTGTTCAATCATCAAGAGCTGGTTTACTGTATAATTCATATCACTGCAGCATCCCCAAATTCGTCGATACATTTGAAGTACTCACAATCATGTTCAGTTTGATTTCTAGTACATCTCTTAAATCTTCGACCGTGATTCTCTCCTCGATGGCAAGTCAATACAAGGCATAATAAGATGCATTTGCAATAAATTTTATGGTTTAAAATTCCCTTTCAAAATAGATGGTTTACTGTAACTCATTTTAGAAAATATGGTACCTATTAATATCATCAATAAATGGCGATAAGGAGCAATTTTAACCAAGCTATTTAGTTCATCCTAAGGAGAACAAGTGCATGAACTGTTGTAGTAGCAAGTTGTGCTGCTTGTAGCAATGCATGACTTGACCAACATGCATCTGGATAAGTTACTAGAAAATTTAGATTGTTCAATCAAAACTCTTGTTAATTGTTGATTTGAGTAAGAATAAAAATAAGAAGAGCACCTATTGTTTAGGTTTCGAGCAAAGAGAGGGAAGGGAAAAGTCCTTCAGTGGCTCTGACGTACCTCAATGAGCAATTCCAGGTCATTTGACTCCATGAATTAAGATGGGGTGCATAGGTCGCTCTCATAGATATTGAGCATCAACGAATGCATTCTTTATTAAGATTGTAAGAGATTTGGGAGGACCAAAAGAGATTAAGGCTATGTTTGGGACTGCTTTTTTGCTGCTTCTTAAAGCAGTT